TCGAGATGAAAATGGCGCTCGGGGAATCTTTCTCCGGGCTTTGCTTGATGGAGCCTTGATTCTCTCCGGAGATCATGGAAATAGTAGTTTTACTTAGCAATGCTTAGTGTTACCTTGTATTGATGTATTACAATCCATCCGTGAAGAAATAAATTTTAATTTATCGTAACTCAACCTTTCTTGTTTCTTTCCTTTATCCTTAATAAGAATTCAATTTGTTGAATTATCAAGTTTCATTTGGCAAAATCCGGAATTTTTAAAAAATCTCCGATATGAATCAATTAGGTTAAGTCGAAAAGAAAACGTATTGTAACTCTGAAAGCCTCATTTATTATTTTTTTGACGTAGCTCTGATAAGTTCGATGATCTTTAGAATACTATCGCTATTTATCGAACACCGTGCTTTTTTTTTATAAGCTTACCAAATTTGGTTATATTTGATCGGTAGCTTTTCACTATGAATTTACTAAAATTATTAATGCATATTACATTTTTTACAGCAACAAGGATACTGAAAATGGTTTGGTTGAGAACATAATCTGGGAGGTATCATATGATTTCTCGAGATGTGTGCGTGTTTTTCGCATTCGTTTGTAAAAAAAAAAAAAAAAAAAAAAAAAATTACATTTACACAAAAGTTCATTTTATTAAGTTAAATAGAATATTCCCAACAAAAATTTTTTTACACTCGTCCCTAACCCCCTCAATAGAAATTTAATTGTTCTTAGTCCTCCACGAATGTCCCTTGTAAAATGTAATTAATAAAAAGGAGAATCCAATGAAATTCAAACCTCCTATTAAAGTAAATGTCCATCCAATTCCAATACTCTCATCAATATCGGCAGCAAAGGCTGAAATTATACCCGACGTTGAATATCTTATAAAATTGTTCGCTGCTTGTACGGATGCACTATTATCAGGACTTACGTCAACTAAATATGTACTAGTACAACTTTGAACTATGTATCCATTGAAACCAGCTAATTATACACATTTATAAAGAAATTTTCAATTTAGAATCACGTAGAATTTAATAACGAAATAAAAACGCAGTTATTCATGATACATACCAATAAATAATGTGATAATCGGCAAGACCAAATCAACTTCTTCTGATAGCAACCATCCATAAGTGATATAAGATACCGGTAAAATTAAGGCGGAAATCCAAACACTATGAAGTCTCATTTCAGGTTCCATGATACCATGATGCATCGCCTTGACTTTTTGTAAAATATAATCAGAAAATTTCCCACCAATAACACTTCCTAAAATATACCCGGATGTAGGGGCCAAGAAAACCAATCCAATTTGTGAAGAATTTAATTCATATTCATCACTAAATGTACGTGGAATTAGAATATCTTGAACATAATGTAAAATCGCTAATGTATTCATATATGCTACAATGAATATAATATGTGGCTTTGATAATGATTTTAATGGTAAAAATGGATTAAATCGCAACTTTTGTTCTGTTGAAGTCGCTGTCGTTGGTAAGGTTCCAATTTGACGATTATAGAACGTTTCGGGAAGAAAGAAGAAAATAATTACAACTAATATTCCACCTAATATTGTGCAAATTCCAAAGATCCATCTCCATCCAAGAAATTGGTTCACAAATCCTCCGAAAATTGGTCCAATCATTTGACCTTTTAAACAGAACTTCGATCGGTTAATAAAGTTACATGTCGCGAGCAGCGAAAAGGCGATTAATTTTTTTACTCACCGGCAAGATAACCTGCAAACGATGAAATTGAAAAAAAAAAAAAAAGTGATAAATGGTGTAAGCAGCTAGGCAAAATTAAATGAATGAAACAAATTAAAATTTAATTATTACTTACCAGCATAAAAGATACCATACGAACTTCCTCTATCTATTTATTTAAAATGAAGAGAAAATTTTTTTAATAGATGTATATAAAATCGAAAAAAAATAATATTTTCAATGAATTACTTACCGGATGGAATGAAGATGTCACTTATAACTCCCGCTGATACACTTTGAACAGCTGAAGAACCACAAGATTGAATTCCACGCATTGCGATAAGTAACCAAATGTTTTGTGACCAAGCACATATTAAAGATGCACTGACATATAACACATAAGAGGTCAAATAAACCTTGCGTCTAGTCGAAAATACATCAGAATAAGATGCCCAACCGAGTGGCTATATATGAAGGATTCAAATGATGTCAAAGATAAATTTCGAGATAAAAAAAAAAAAAAAAAAAAAAAAAAAAAAAAAAATTTTTTTTACCGAAATTCCTAGAAATACCAGGTAAATCGAAACTTAAAGTGTGATAAGATTTTAATATTAATTATGATTTTTTAAAAACGCTTGCAAGGATTTTATTTTATATTTTATATTTACCCAAAACATTTGCTAGATCTTCTTCAACATCAAATTCTTCTCGAATATTTAATAATGCGGGGTATAACATTCTAAGGTGTCAAAATAATAATATCGTTATGATTTGGTTTCAATGAGAAATATGAGAAATATATTTAAATAGTTTTTACAAAAAAAAATAAAATAAAATCAAAGAAATAAAAGAACGTACGATCCCGACAATCCTGTAATCATTCCGGCATAAGAAATCACTGCGACGATAAAATACTTCTTCGCTTTCGACCAATTTATAGGATCCACATCCGAATATGTTGTTCGATCAACAACCAGTGAAGTGACAGGTATGTAAGAAACCGGTAAAGTAGCAGATGGTAGATTATCACTGAAAGAAGGATTAGCACCTTCATTAGGGTTGTTCATGATTATATAGTACGTAAAATACTGAAAGAGCTTTTGTTTTTAATGCGCAGAAACGTAAATTTTTCTGATGGTTGGAAATTAATTTTTTTTTTAATGTTCAGAAGGAAACGAACGCAAAGAATTTTTTTAAATTTTTTTTGCTCATATATATACATAATTTTTCAATAGTAAAAAAAAATAACCGAATCAAGCGCGTTATTTTAAGAAATTGGATTGTTCCAGTTTCTTTTGACGAGCCTCATTAGTAATAAAATATTCGTGCGCTAACATAATAAAATATATTAATTGTATTTTATAAAGTAAGATTTATTATTTTACGTTTTTCTCATTCGTTTACTATTTATTTTTTTGATATAAACAATCATCATATTATTAATTGCAATTATTGGTATATATGGTTAGTTTCATTGTTCACGCTATCTCACTTGATTTATAGTTTAAGTAGATCATATTTTTGACGATACTTTTTTTGATTCTTTATTCAATAAAAAAGGTTCTTTTTAAGGAATTTTTCCATAAAACGTAAATAAAGGCGAATACATTAAATCAACCCACCTCACATGATTGCCTTTTCTAGAATTGCAGATCTTTTTTAATTACCCGATCCTCCTTAAAAATAAACCGTAACAAAAACAAATAGCTCATTGATGTGCAATTGTAATTTTCAATTGAAAGCCAAAACTTCCAATCTTCCAAGTTGACGAGCATCTGATATAAATAAAGTATTCCGTTTGTTCAAGATATCAGTCAGATATTGTTCTGGCTCGCATAATGATGCATTCGAAAAGCCTTATTAATGTGAACAAATCTGCGAATTTGGTCTTTGTTCAATCAATAAAGTTTTCATCTTGGAATAAGCGGTCCTCTTTGCTAAACGTTGTTAATTCTTTTATATCTGTAGTATGAAAGCATATGTTATTTTTCAAGATAATATTTATATAAATAAAAGTTGGAATTCACTTATAAAATCTATTTAACCAATCACGATACTTTTTTTTTTTTTTACAATTTCGTAATTACAGTTAAAATTTTATAGCATTGAATTATTAAATTTATAGCATTTATATTTCATAGCATATATTTAATTTATTTTAATTTTGTGGCTCATTTATTAAAATTTTTGGCTTTTATTTATTAAATTAATTTTTGTATTTAATTTAACTTATTAAAAGTTTATGGCTTATTTATTAAAATTTTGTGGCATTAAAATTTGTGACTTATTTATTAAGTTATTTTGGCTTATTTCTTAAAATTTTTGGCTTATATATTAAATATATGGCTTATTTATTAAATTTTTTTGTTGTTTATTTATTAAATTCTTTGGCTTATTTCTTTAAAATATTATGTTAAAATTTTTATGTATTAATTAAAATTTTGTAATATTTATTTATTTTATTAAATTTCTTGGCTTATTTATTAAGTTTTGTAGCATTTATTTATTAAATTTTTACATATTTAATTTTTGGTTAAATTTTATAGCATTTAATTTATTTTATAAATTTATTATTTAATTATAAAAATTATATAATCACAAAATTTTTTGCATTTGCTTTTTACCTTCATTTTACATTATTTTTAATAATACATATGTCTCAAACTTTATTGATTTCTGTTAATTAAAAATATATGTAAAACAAAAAATTATTTTCAAATTGAATTTCAATATAATAATTTAACTAAATATAATATTACAATAAGTGATAAATAAGCATCACAGTATTATAACTAATTTTATTATTATTAAAAATTAAGTTACCATTAGTTGTAACAAGTGATAAATAAGTATTATAAAATTGTAACATTATCTTTAAATTTAATAATATACCAATTCTTTAATAAAAGATTTTTTAAAAAAGCATTTTATTAATATTATAATTTATAAAAATAAAATCAAAATATTATTACTAGAAAATGGTTATAATTAAATAGTATTTTTAAATTAGAAATAATTTTATTTAAAAAGCTTACTGGAAATAATTATATTATATATAAAATTTCTAATAATTACTCTGAAAAATTTATAAAAAAATTTAGAATAAAGTTATATTATTACCAATTTTAATCAAAAAAAAATATAAATATTTTATACATTTCTTTAAATATAATAATATTAGTAGTACATAACAGCGATTTTATCATATAATTCAATAATTATTTGTTAATCACTTATTGATCATTTATTCATTTTTATTTATATAGACTATAGATGAAAGATGAAACTCCTTAATAACAGTCAAAACTTGGATGAAATTATATTAAAAATATAATAAGAAATATAACAAAATCTTTCAATATGACGAAAGCTGAAATTGTTAAAACTATATTAAAAACATAAAAAAGGATATAATGAAATTATTTTGAGAAAAGTTTTGGTAAACATCTATAATATAAACATTTTGTAATAAAAGAAAAAAAATTACCAAAAAATTTTTTTTTACTTTATAAATTAAATATTATTTTTTTTAGTAAAATAAATTCAGATTTAACATTAACTCAAAAAAATTTTTTAGTAGTTTCTTCCTTTCTACTTTAAAACACCTATATTTTTATTTATTATTTTAAAAATAACATTAATTTTTTAGAAATAATTAGATCCTTTATTACAAATATATTAATTAAACTTTTTTACAAATAATTAAATTATTAGATATACTTAATATAATATATAATTTTAAATAAACTAATTTTTCTTATCTTAATTTTAATTTTATTTCTATGCAGTAATATAAATTCTAATATTTTTATAAGCGTAAATGTAAAAATGTATAAAAATTTTGTGTAGTTATATATATGTTATATATAAAGATAAAAAGGAATAGGCACAATTATAATTTAATGTATATTGTACCTATTATATAACTCTAATTTCTATTACTAATCCTATATTATAGGTAATATCTAAAATAAATAATTAGTAATAAATAGAATTTATTTTTTAAAGAAAAACTAAATTCTTAAATTATATAATAAAAAATAAAACCTAAAAAGTATAATATAATATGATAGTTTATTTATATAATTATATACTTTAAATAAGGTTTAAAAAGTTAAATAAAAAGTTGTTAATGTTATATGTACAAATTGATTCTATTTTTATTATTTTTTTAATTTTGATAAATAGTAGTATTTATAAAATTATATAATAATTATATAATGTTATAATCTTATTAGTCTTTTTAATACAAATCTATAAATAGTAATAATCTTTCTTAATTGATTATATAAATGTAAAGCTAATTATAGATGACAGATGATAACTTTGACATAGTTAGCAATTTGTATGAGAATTCTAATCTTAAAAGCCTTTTTATTTTTTAATAAAGAAAGTTGCTACTAAAATTTGTTATTATTTGAGCTAAAGACTTTAAATAAACTTTTACAAATTATAATAAAAATTTTCTAACTTTTAAGCATTTCATTTGCTTAAAGTATGAATTTTTCAAAACTTATTAGGTATATTAGATTTTAATTTTCAAACAGATGACTTGATAACTTTTTATATCAGTTTGATATCGTAAACTATTTTGTAACATTTACTATTTAAAAGAAAAAAACAGTTTTTAAATTATATTTCAAATAAATGTAATTATAATTATCCTTTATATTTAATTGGAAATATGAATGAAATTCCACTTACTTTTGAAATGTCCAATTTTACAACAATTAAAAATTGTAATACTCATACAGTTAGTATTAAAACTACAGATAATAAAAGAAAAAAATTTACTGTAATTCTTAGATATGTATCTGATAGAACAAAAGTTACCTCCAGTTATTATTTTCAAATTAAAAAAATATATCTCAAAAAAGTTTTTCTAAAGTTATATTTATTTGCACAAATGAAAGTGGCTGGGTTAATGAAGATAAAATGCTATGTTGAGTTGAAATATCTGGACTATCATTAATTTTTGATTCATTTTGTGCCAAATATAGTTGATTTCAACTTGCTATAAAAAATACAAATTTAACAGATATTCCTAGCGGTTTAACATCTATATTACAATCATTGGGATGTTGTAATTAATAAAAACTTTAAACTGAAGGTATAGTAATTTTAATTTTTTATTTTATATATATACTAATAAAATAATTTAAAAAAAATCCGTGCACTATATTCAATGGATGGTGTATTAAAGGCAAAAACTTTCTGAATTGGTAAAAATCGCGTGGGAATCTTTTTAATTAAAAATTCATTTAAATGTTGTGAAATATCATCTTACGTATGATCATGTTGTGCAAATTTGTAGATTTTATTACTAGCCATTTTAAGCCTAATTAATAAATTACGCCGACATAAACATTGATTTTTGCGACAATTACTATCAAAATTGCACCTTTAAATAAGATAATTTCTACCTACCTAACCACTCTTTTTTGTTAAATATTTGTACGCATCCTGCAAATCAAGAGTTAAAGTCACATTTATATCTTATTGTATTTGCGTGATTATAATGTTAAAAGACTCGATTTTCATCCCATATGATTTATTTTTATGAGGAAATTATCGGATAAAGTGAGGTGGCGCAGATTATGTAATTGAAAGACGCTCCATTGATATCAGTGTGATTGTTTTCGCATCATTCTACGAGGTCCACAATGCTTCTTTTTTTTTTTTTATTTAAATAATAAAAAATTATTATAGATACGAATTGATCTATTTCGTTCGTCGCATGTGAATTTTAACCAAAAATAATCCAATATCAAAGATAGAATGGTTAATTATTTATATTTGTTATATTCCCAATTTATAAATACTACTCATATCATATTAAAGGCTGTATCAAAATTAATTTATTCGGATCCAAATGTTAATTCCATAATAGATTAAATCAATAACTTAAAATAATAATACTTTATTACATTGCAATATTAAGTTATCATTCGACTGTAAAAAATCAAGATAATTTTTTTTAATATGGCGAATAGTTTTAGAATTAAGTGTATTATGCACCGTAGTGAGAGATATATATTGAAAAAATAAAAAATAAAAATAAACAATT